ACTCTGTGTGATAAATACACTAAAAGTTATCCACTGATAAAGACAGATTAAGCAAAGGGAAACAATTAATAAATAGATTTTCTGTCTGTTCGTAACAAAGTTATTATATGGCTTCACAACACTTAAACATAAGGGCCAGAGCACCTTTATGAAACCTTTTGGTGCCGTTTTTGTCATATTGGAGCTTGACTGTCCCAGTCCCCATTCACATGCATTGTATGAAAATGAGTAGCCAGGACTAAACATGAGAAACAAAGTAACTTACATTTGGAAAAACATGAGAGTAAATAATACTGAATTTCTATTTTAGGTGAACTGTCCCTTTAAGGGATCGACTGGCAGTGACACAACTAGTATAATCACTCTTATTGATTCATTGATCTTGTAACTCATGTTTTGCTTGCTGACATAATTCTCTCTCTTTTTATCAGTCTCCCAGTGTCTCCCTTGACATTTTTAAACCGACACCATTTCTGATTTTTACATAGCTCTACAGTCATCATGTTTTGATGACTGTAGAGCATGTTTTGATGGTATTTCATGCTCCTCTGCACAGCCGTACATACAAACACACACACACACCCAGTGTTTCATCAGACATCACAGTCTCAAAATAGACAGATTGAGCCTATAACATCCAGCCATGTATGTACAGTACATGTGTACGCACAACCAATAGGCCACAGCTCAGGCCAAAACAATATAGGCTTTCTTTGTTAATGACACAATAATATAATACCAGATACATTTTTATTTATTCCATATGTATAATCTCATGTTAACTCTCATTGTAACTTAGACTCCGAGGGTGTGTAAAACATCAAGACAGCACACACTCCCAAAAAGATTATGAAATCAAGTCATACAGAATCAAAGCATCTGAGATACTGCTATGCATGGAAACAGCTGTGACATTGGGGACAGGCACTTTTTTAGATGCTCAAGCTCTTAGTGATGCCATGGCCTCAATAAAAACCAAAGAAACACTGAGCAAAATGAGGTCATTGTGGGCTTAGGTAGGGGAGAGTGGGAGGGGAAGGAGGGCTGCATGTATCCACACCCAGTGTTTCATCAGACATCACAGTCTCAAAATAGACAGATTGAGCCTATAACATCCAGCCATGTATGTACAGTACATGTGTACGCACAACCAATAGGCCACAGCTCAGGCCAAAACAATATAGGCTTTCTATGTTAATGACACAATAATATAATACCAGATACATTTTTATTTATTCCATATGTATAATCTCATGTTAACTCTCATTGTAACTTAGACTCCGAGGGTGTGTAAAACATCAAGACAGCACACACTCCCAAAAAGATTATGAAATCAAGTCATACAGAATCGAAGCATCTGAGATACTGATATGCATGGAAACAGCTGTGACATTGGGGACAGGCACTTTTTTAGATGCTCAAGCTCTTAGTGATGCCATGGCCTCAATAAAAACCAAAGAAACACTGAGCAAAATGAGGTCATTGTGGGCTTAGGTAGGGGAGAGTGGGAGGGGAAGGAGGGCTGCATGTATCCGGGCCTGAATGTTGGCAGGCCTCTGTCTCACTGTCAGTCAGTCAAACTAATACAGCTGCCACTGAATAAGCCCAATTATGCATATAACAGTCTACAGCCACTTTAAAAACCCCATGAAATTCCATTTTTTTGTTTTGCTTTTAGTAATAAAATGTCTAGTCTAAAAAATTTCTAAAAAAAAGCTAGTGTGCTCCAAAACGTTAAGCATTGAAAACTTAGTCTCTCACTTCTGACGATACAGATCAACAATTTTTATGACAGCATTCTGTACTTCAGCTTCTCACCAGATTTTCTGACCAATCAAAAGCTTTCTAGGATCTGAAGTCTCCAACCTCTTACACTATAAAAGACACTAAAACCATGGCTTAAAGGGATAGTTCACCCAAAAATGAAAATTCTGTCATTAAATACTCGCCCTCATGTCGTTCCAAACCTGTAAGACCTTCGTTTATCTTCGGAACACACATTAAGATATTTTTGATGAAATCTGAGAGCTCTCTGACCCTCCCATAGACCGCAAGGATCCTTACACGATCAAGGCTCAGAAACGTAGCAAGGACATCATTAAAATAATCCATGTGACATCAGTGGTTCAACCGTAATTTTACGAAGCTATGAGAATACTTTTTGTGCTCAAAGAAAACAAAAATAACGACTTTATTCAACAATTCATCTCCTCCGCGTCACCCTATAGTGCGAGTTTGGATAGTATCACATACGTAAACAATGTATGCAACATATGTACGCAGATACATTGTTTACGCTTTGATCTGAACGTAAACAATGTATCCGCGTACATAAGTACATAAACCTTGCTGTCTATGAGAGGGTCAGAAAGCTCTCGGAATTCATCAAAAATATCTTAATTTGTGTTGCGAAGATGAACGAAGATCTTGTAGGTTTGGAACGACATGAGTGTGTACGCACAACCAATAGGCCACAGCTCAGGCCAAAACAATATAGGCTTTCTATGTTAATGACACAATAATATAATACCAGATACATTTTTATTTATTCCATATGTATAATCTCATGTTAACTCTCATTGTAACTTAGACTCCGAGGGTGTGTAAAACATCAAGACAGCACACACTCCCAAAAAGATTATGAAATCAAGTCATACAGAATCGAAGCATCTGAGATACTGATATGCATGGAAACAGCTGTGACATTGGGGACAGGCACTTTTTTAGATGCTCAAGCTCTTAGTGATGCCATGGCCTCAATAAAAACCAAAGAAACACTGAGCAAAATGAGGTCATTGTGGGCTTAGGTAGGGGAGAGTGGGAGGGGAAGGAGGGCTGCATGTATCCGGGCCTGACTGTTGGCAGGCCTCTGTCTCACTGTCAGTCAGTCAACCTAATACAGCTGCCACTGAATAAGCCCAATTATGCATATAACAGTCTACAGCCACTTTAAAGACCCCATGAAATTCAATTTTTTTGTTTTGCTTTTAGTAATAAAATGTCTAGTCTAAAAAATTTAAAAAAAAAACCTAGTGTGCTCCAAAACGTTAAGCATTGAAAACTTAGTCTCTCACTTCTGACGATACAGATCAACAATTTTTATGACAGCATTCTGTACTTCAGCTTCTCACCAGATTTTCTGACCAATCAAAAGCTTTCTAGGATCTGAAGCCTCCAACCTCTTACACTATAAAAGACACTAAAACCATGGCTTAAAGGCAATAAAATAAAACTAAATACAAATAAATGTCTACTTGGAGCCTGTAAGTTTATTTGATCTATTGCAGACAAGTATTTTATTTCCTCATTCTAAAATAAAATAAAATAAAATAAAATAATTGCTTAGAGCCAAACATCAGGCATCATATATCATCAAACATAATATATTTTCACTAGTGCTGTCAAACGATTAATCAAATTAAAAGTTTTTGTTTACTCAATATATGTGTGTGTACTGTGTATATTTATTATGTATATATAAAGACACACACATACAGAATATATTTAGAAAATATTTACATGTAATGTTTATATATAATATAAATATATACATTACATATTTTTCTTAAATATATACATGCATATGTTTGTATTTATATATACATAATAAATATACACAGTACACACACATATATTATATGAACAAAAACGTTTATTTTGGATGCAATTAATCGTGACCACTAGTGGTACACAGAGGAATCACTGAATTAAATATAAATTAATGTTAAAGTGCCCCTATTATGGGTAATGAAATGTTCATATTTTGGTTTTGGGAGTCCCCAACAACAGGTTAACATGCATGCAAGGTCAAAAAACACTTTCATTGTCTTATAATATGCATTTATTTTTTACCTTACTTGCTCAACGATTCATTTTTCCAAACCCCACCTTTGCGTGATGCTAATCTGCAGTGATTGTTCCGATTGGCCTGTAATGCCTGATAAAGCAGCGTTTGTAAGAGCAGTGCTGCTTTGTGTACGGCGTTACCGGGGAAACAGCTATTTTTACCGCTCCAAAAGCGACACCTGGTGGCAAAGAATGACTTTGCATTTTCATTCAGACCAACCGAAAAGAACAACAAGTGGGCGGGCAATATGCTAATGTTTCATGTTGACATCAACATGAAAGTGCTTGGGATTCGTTTTAAAAACTACTCGTTTCAATGATTCAGAGTCGACTCTTTCTTTTGAGAGACAGTAACTTTATACGCGGTGCACTTTGATATTTAAAACTTTGCAGGATGTTTTCATTCACTTAGAGCTGTGTTACACACTGCATGAAAGGTAATTTTCAAAAATCCATAATAGGGGCACTTTAAAACACTTTTAAAAAGTTTGCAAGCTGGCTAAATGATGCCTGTGTTAATTTTTTTGATCAAGTACTGTGCATTTTTTTTACTTTACATTTAAGTACAGTACAGTTTTTATTTAACTTTTAGGTACAGGACATTTTAATTTAATAATTTAAGTTTTTTTTTACCTGTACGTAAAAAACTGTATTTACAATGTTTAAAGTGGCCGACAATAATAAATATTCTTATTAGGAATAAAACTGTCTCATTTTTGAACGGTGCATAGCTGTAGCTGAATAATTAGGCCTACTACGCTACTGTATTTTAATGTTGGTCATTATGGTGGTACATGCAGAGCCAAATATTTTCTGAGGTGGTACTTGGTGTAAAAAGTTTGAGAACCACTGTTCTAATCAATCTCACAAAATGTTTATTGGTATCTAATATTAGCCCATATCTATTCAAAATATAAATCAAAATAAATTGGTTATAAATAAAACATTTCAATATATGTGCATATGATGAGCGTGTTATGGAGCATGATTTGAGAATATTTCAAAATGATCACATGGTCAATGAAACAAATCTGCATAATTGATTAAATAGGGCAGAATCTGAAATATTTCTTGTACATTTCATATCTTATAAATTCTTTCAAAATTCTAGCTTTAAGTTTATTTACAGGTATAAATGCAGAAAATCCCATTTTTTAAATGTGGATACTGTGTATTATGGAATGGGTGAACATATATAACGTACCCCCTCTGTAAACCAGCAGAATAACCTCCCCCTTTTTAGTGTGTTCTTGCAAAATCCTTTGGACCTTGAATCAAAGTACACCAAATAAATATACAATAATAATAAAAGTACACCATAACAAAAACCTTAAGTTGAATACCATTCTCTTCATCCCTACCTGTGCAAAGCTGAGACTCTGTACATCTGCTCCATTGATCTTCACAATGGCATCTCCAGGCTGCAGTCCGATACACTGTCTGTGGTCCCAGACTTTCTTCACGAGGGTCTGTCTTCCTCCGTGACCTCCTGCCGTGACACTGAACCCCATATTGCTGCCCCTCTCACATTTAGCCAAAGCAACGGGGACTAATTCCCCACTACCCTCCATTCTTCCAATTCCACTCCCGATCACAGCGCTCATGGCTCCAGGTGAAGGAATGCTGCTGTTCGGGCTGCCGCTGCTGGCACTGGCTGTGCCGTTGAAGGTGAAGTAAGGCCCGTCAGAATGGGCGCTGCTAGGTGGGGTTAGCAGTGAATGCTGGGGTTTACGGAGATGAGAGTAGCGCCTTCCTCCTCCAGGAGAGAAAGAGATAGGGCCTGGACTTACTTCAGTGTGGGGCAGGGGCAATCGAGATATGGGTGGTGGAGTACTCGAGGAAAGGTCACTCTCAGAAGATTTGAAGGAGTGCAGGCGGAGAGGTGGTGGAGTGGACAGAGAGTTGTTGTTGTGGTTACGGATAAACGAGGCCCTGTGAAGATAAAAAGAGAGAGACCTTGATGTATCATAATCAGGGTTGAGGAGGGATGGAATATAACTTAACGTATTTAAAAATAGAAAATATAAATAACTGTAGTCAGTTACGTTTACAACTTATGCCGAGTTCACACTGCAAGATTTTAGCCCGATTTTTCACTCGTCGACAGGTTTTGCGAAATCGCCGACAAATGCCCGACATCGGAGACAAATCGGTGCTCGTTCACGCGAGTGACAATCACGCAGTGTGAATTATCAAAGACGCGATCTGAGGGAATCGTCGACACGTCGTCGACACCCGTGAAATATTTGGCATGCTAAATATCTGGAGCTGTCGGCGATTAACAATCACGCTGTGTGAAATGAGTTCTGACTGAAAAACACATCGGCGATGACCTACAGCCAATGAGAGACCAAGATACAGGGCAGCGGGAAGTTCGGGGAGGAGTTATGAAACGTAATTTGCGGACCAGTGTTGCCAAATTCGCGATTGTCGCCGGTTGTTCTTTATGTCAGCAGGTTGAAGCGACCCCAATAACATGATATTTAGGCCCTGGAATGTGAATTGTACCAGGAGAAATTTTTTTTTGAATTGTACCCCGCCAAAAAAATTTTTATTTTATGTATGCAGTGTGAACTCGGCATTAAACATTGGTAATCAGATACGGTTTAATTCAAAAATAATTTTGATTGAACAGCATAGAAACACTCTTATGAAGCAGACAGAGGGCACTGTTAATAATAAAAGTCATTGAAGACTGATAACATACAGAAGTAATGAATCCAATAAAAAACAAAATGATGACAATATTTGGTTTGTCTATTTCTTACAAAAATTAACCATATTTTTGCTACAAATAAAACCAAAAAGCCATGGTTACTACAGTTTAGGGTGACCATACGTGCCATTTTCCCAGGACGCGTCCTGGGAAAATGGCACGTATGGTCACCCTGCTACAGTTAAACCATGCCAACCACAAATTAACCATGGTTTTGCTACACTAACCATAGTTTAACCATGGAATTTAGTAAAAAAAATTGTAAAATTGTGGTTACACAAATGGTAATCAATATGCCAGAAACCATGGTTACTACACTTTTACTACAACAAAACAATTGTAGTTTTTTTGTAAGGGAAGTTCTTCATGTGGTACTTTTCAAGAAAAAAAAAAAGATGTTTTAGCCTTTAGCATTGCAAAGACAGCTACAAATAATGTATTTTCTGCCTCATTCCATGAACAAAAATTCACCTATGATTAGTAAAAAGTCTTTTTATACACTTAGCAGGGTCTTGAAGTAAATTTTGAGCGGCAGAAATAGTTTTAACTAGAGTAAATTGTCATGTCAACATTTAGCTTTAGGCTAAGCTAAAATGTTAGCACCTGTTAGCAGGCACTATAACATTTTAAGATGAAGTCTATCAAGGAATTCCATTTCAAATTATATCCACAACCGTTCAAATGTTTGTGGGTCAGTAAAATACTTTTATTATGAAAGGCTTATTAAATTGATCAAAAGTGACAGTAAAGACAATATTTCAATAAATGCAGTTCTTTTGAACTTTCTATTCATCAATGAACCATGAAAAACTGTATGTAAAGATGTTCACACAAATATTAGCAGAACAACTGTTTTCATCACAGTAATAATAAATATTTATTGAGCACCAAATCAGCAGATTAGAATGATTTCTGAAGGATCATGTGGCACTGAAGACTGAGTAATGATGCTGAAAATTTAGATGCATCTCAAGAGTACATTATACTTTAAAATATATTCAAATAGTAAATAATGATTTAACATTGCAATAATATTTCACAATATGACTGTTTTTACTGTATTTTTATTAAATAAAAACAGTAAAAACATTTTTAAAAATCTTGCTAACCCCAAACTTGAACAGTAGTGTATGATGAAGGGTAATAATCCCCCCCAAAATTGTATTTGTAATGAAGAAAGCAAATATTTTCACTTTTAAACAACACGGGCAGATTTTTCCACTTGTACGAAGAAGTAATCTAATGAAATATGTTACAAATTACATTTTACAGCAAGTATTCTGTGTAAACTGTAGTGAAATACTGTACATTTTTAACGTAACTCTCCTAATCCTAATCATAGCAGTGACAATCATATATAAAATGCTCTCACCTATGGGATCCAATCGCAGACACCACCTCGCTGTCACTCTGGCTGGCCAGTTCTGCACTCTGTAACCTCCTGATGCTTCGGGCAGAGCGTGGTGGTCTCAGGAACCCACTCCCATACCCGTTAGAGTACTGGTATGATGATGGCTGTCTTGAAGGAGAAGCAAATGGAGATGAATTACCATTAGCATCCAAACTGAACCTTGATGCCCGTACTCTGAGATTCCTTGAGGATCCCCTCTCAAAATCAGACCACATGGGCCCATTGTGGTTGAGGTGTAGCTGAGCATATGGGAGAGGAGCCTGGGCCTGGGGTTGGGTGGTGGTTGGTGGAGGTAGATATAGTGACTGGTCTAGGGATGCTGTTAGCCTAGGATTGGGCATCTTCGGACAGCCGTCAGAGTTATAGAGCATGGGGTAGCCTCTTCGGACAACAACGTCCACAGTGTGACCCACTGGAATGGCTTTCAACATTTCCACTACCTCTTTGTGAGAAAAGCCAAGCACACAGGTATCATTGATGTACACCAGAATATCCGCTGGAAGAGGCAAGAGATGAAAAGTGTTAAATTGCATTCATTATAAAGGTTTAACCGAAACTATTCAATTAAATAAATCTTACCTTCAATAAACAGATTTTATACACACTACCTTTTAAAGGTTTGGAGTAAATTTTTAATGGTTTTGAAAATAATATATATTTTTTTATATTATTACAATTGAAAGTAATTTTAATATTACTATTTTAAATGTGTAGAAATATAATTTATTCCTGTTTTCAGTGTCACATGATCCTTCAGAAATCATTCTAATATGCTGATTTGGTGCTCAAGAAACATCAATGTGGATAAATTTTTTGGTGGAATCTGTGACACATTTTTCAGGTCTCTTTGATGAATAGAAAGTTCAAAAGAACAGCATTTATTTGAATATGAATCTTTTGTAACATTATAATTAATGTCACTTTTGATAATTTGAATGCATAAAAGCATAATTTGTTATGAATGAAACTTACAACTTATGTATAGAACTACATCTACTGCATATACAGTGGGTACGGAAAGTATTCAGACCCCCTTAAATTTTTCACTCTTTGTTATATTGCAGCCATTTGCTAAAATCATTTAAGTTCATTTTTTTTCCTCATTAATGTACACACAGCACCCCATATTGACAGAAAAACACAGCATTGTTGACATTTTTGCAGATTTATTAAAAAAGAAAAACTGAAATATCACATAAAGCATAATTTGTTATGAATGAAACTTACAACTTATGTATAGAACTACATCTACTGCATATATATATATATATATATATATATAAATAATTATACTATACTATTATACTACACTATTATAGACTTTTGATCATTTGCTGACTAAAAGCATTACTTTCTTTAAAAAAGTATATAATATATAAATATATATATAGTATTTCTATATACAGTATTAATCCATTATCACATGCAAAATGCACTGATCTAAAAATGTACTGTGAAACTCAGAGGTGTGTATTCATAAATGAGCAAAAATAATTCATAGATGCATGCAGTTGTATGTTAGTATGCATGTCACAATAAAGTGAGAGAGAGCGTGTTCATAATGTCACGTTTTTCTTATAAATGTGTGTCGGCACACAATGATAGCTGGATTTCTCCATGTAGGCCATTAGGATTAGAGGGAGATCGAGACACTCGTTCAACAGAATCACACAATCACAACACTAATCCACGGTGGGACACAAAGAGCAATATGTATAAAGAGAGAGAGCAGCAGTAGCCTATAAAGAACAAAGAAATATCCCCTTATTTGTAAGCACAATGCTGTACTGCAGTGGGCGGCTGCAGAGAGATGTGGGGTGGGCTGTTACCTATGTGAAGGGTGGAAGGTCCTCCGGGAGTGATGCTGTAGATCTGCAGGAATTCCCTCCGCCTGCTGCCTCCCACTATATTGAAGCCGAACCCCCGTGACCCCTTAACCAGACGAGTGTGAACGGAGAAGCCTTTCAGTTCACTCGGCTGGTCTGTAAACTCTGCCACTGCAAAGCAAGAACAAAAAGATGGTGACCAGTTTAAGCATGACAGGTTATTAGGAAAAATTAACCAACCAAGAGTAAAGAAAAGAAGAAATGACTGACATTACATAAGATGGATGGTAAAAGGTGAAGAAAAATATTGCATTTTTCCAGAGAGGAGTGAATCTAAATTATGTCCCGGTAGCTCAACTGGTAGCACATCACATGATACTAGCACTGCTAATATCATGGGACCAAATCCCAGGGAACACACAAACTGACAAAAATATATACCTTCAATGCACTGTAAGTTGCTTTGTAAGTCTTTAAGTGTCTGCCAAATGCATGAATGTGAAATGTCTGAAGGAAAAGAGAGGTAGAAGTACAGAGAAAGGTAAGCATATGCATGTTTGAGCACAAACTGTTCAAGCGTAACATGTTAAACAACAGAATCGCATGCAACATTGTAAAAGTTGGTAGGTTGCTTTGGGAACATCTTCGGTGTGACGAATGTCTGAAGCCCTATACCATCACGCCAATTCATTGGCCAAATAGCGCTTAGCACCGCCCCCGACGCGCACGCAGTTGAGCTATATCAGCGTGCTTCGCGCTATTTCATCAGATTTAATTTCCTTCATGAAGCGAATCATCTGTCGCCCGTAGGAAAGCGTTTTTCGTCGTGTTGTTAGCTATTTTCCTTCAAAAGAGCAGTTTACTCCTCTTCAGCGGACACGATGAGCTACAGGAGATGCATCGAGCCGTGTGACAGGTTTATCGCAGGAGGAGTTTGGGAACAACTCATGATGTTTGGGCCTACAACACGCTCAAGTGCCCTTTCTGATTGTCGACACTGTGATAGCCTGCGGCTAAAAGTATTGCGCTCGAGGCCTTCTCGAATAAAGTAGGCCTCGCGTCTAACCCCCACTATCCTAGGGTGACCATACGTGGTCACCCTAGGATATCTCGAGAGCATTTTGAAAGCATAAGGAACCGTCTGTATGATATTTTGATGTCATACACCAATTGGTCTGCACACGCAAACAAAGCCAAAACCTAAATATTTTAGGCAATATAGAAATCCTGGCCAGGACGTGTCCTGGGAAAATGGCACGTATGGTCACCCTACGCTATCCCATTTCTGCGGTTGCCGAGGCGCCGCACGAGACGGTCGCTTGGGGTGACCCATGCGAGCCGAGGCTAATAGAGGGCGAGTCAACGGAGTTTTCTCCTTTTCTCTCGCTCTCTCCAGGCCATGTGCAAGCGCTCGAAGAGTGCTACGGGGATCCCGTTGTCTTTGTCAACGATGATTTGCGGCCTACCCCGGAAGCTCGTGATGCGATGTTTTTCGGTTGTATACCGTATGACGAAGACGTGCTGTCCACAGCGGCCTCCGAGTCAGAGGATTTATTGGGTGAAGTGTGCAGTTATCTCCCTCCGATCGGACAGGAGAAACGCACCTCCCCGTCTTACAGCGAACTGTTAGACGTTGTAACACGCGCTGTGGATAAGCGGGGGTTAGAGTGGGATAGCGAGCTGGCGATAAATCAGGCCCAGTTGAAACTGGATGACCGATTTTTGTCTAGCCGCACTCCGTCTCAGCCCAGTAGGTCTCTCCCTTTCTTCCAAGACCTCCACCACGAGGTTCCGAGGTCTTGGAAACAACCTTTTTTGGCGCGTATTACTAATCCCGCTGCCGCTGATTTCACCACGGTTTCTAAAATGGCGAAACACGGCTATGCCGGCCATAGAAGAGACTCTTGTGGCACATCTCGCGCTGAACTCTGCTCCGTCTTGGAAGTCACGCCCCCTGTTGCCGTCCAAGCAGTGTAGGGTTACGTCCGCTTTAGTCTGGAAATCTTACATGGCCGCTGGACAGGCCGCGGCTACGCTCCATTCTATGGGTGTACTGCAGGCTTATCAAGCAGATGTGCTTAAGGAGCTGGATGAGGGAGAGGGCCTGACCCCAGAGGCTGTTAAAGAGCTCAGGCGAGCTACGAGCTACTGACCAAGCACACAGCTCGGGCAGTGGGCAGGTCCATGGCAGGTTTGGTGTCAGTTGAGCGCCACCTTTGGTTAACTCTCACTGACATTATGGAAAAGGATAGAACCTTTCTTTTGGACGCCCCCATTTCTAATGACGGCCTGTTCGGGGATTCGGTCACGACTGTCGTGGAACAGTTTCGAGCAGCGAAACAGCAGTCCGCCACGTTTTGTCAGCTCATCCTAGGGAATTAGAGCATCAACCACCTTCGGCTCGTTCATGCTAGTCCTCTTTGCAGCACCCTCGCGAGGTCCAGCGGCATGAGCCATTGCCTATGTTACCCCCTCGTAAGGACTGGTGTCCTAGGTCTTACCCACCTGCTCACCCACGGCAACGCAAGCGGATAGACCTGAGTTTGACTCTCTCGTTGTGGCCTCTCCTCGAATGTTTACAAAATGTATGGACGCAGCTCTGGCCCGTTGCGGTTCCAGGGCATCAGAATTTTGAACTACCTGGACAATTGGCTAATATTAGCTCAATCTCAGGATTAGGCACTAACACCGTCATCTGAGGAGCCTAGGGTTACGGACGAACCTTCAAAAGAGTGTCCTGCTGCCTGCTGCCATGTCAGCAAATTACCTTTTTGGGGGTGGACTTGGATTCTTGCATGATGCGGGCACGTCTGTCTCCCGTACGTGTACAGTCAATACAGACCTGTCTAAGTCAGTTCAAGACAGGGCGCCTAGTACATGTAGGCTTGTGTCTCAGACTGTTGGGTCTGATGGCCGCGGCGTCCCCTGTAGTTCAGTTGGGCCTGTTCCACATGTGACCATTTCAGTGGTGGACCAAGAGCCAGAACATTTCACCTCATTGTCATCCACTTCGCAGAATTACGGTGACACGCAAGGGCTTTCGTGCGCTAAGCCCGTGGATGAGACCCCAGTTCCTTCAAAAAGGAGTCCAGATGGGGACGTTGTGTCGCCGCAAGATGATCACTACGGACGTGTCCCTCACAGGCTGGGGAGCGGTCCATCAAGGACGTCCAGTCTGTGGAGTCTGGACAGAGGTGCATCGTGGCTGGCACATCAATCGTTTGGAGATGCTAGCAGTCTTCCTGGCTCTCAAACAGTTTTTTCCCCATTTGAGGGATTGTCACGTGTTAGTCAGGACGGGCAACACGACAGTTGTTTCGTACTTCAATCGTCAAGGAGGATTACGTTCCCGCCCCCTGTGCAGGCTGGCGAGGCGTGTTCTTCTTTGGGCTCAGACAAAGCTCCTGTCGATCAGAGCACTCCATGTCCCAAGTCGCCTGAACTCAGGAGCGGACTTGCTCTCGAGACAGAGTCTGGAGGATGGGGAGTAGAGATTGCACCCCCAGGTGATGGATCTCATATGGCAGAGGTTTGGCAGAGCAGAAGTGGACTTGTTTGCTTCGAGCATGACTATGCACTGCCCGCTCTGGTTTTCCCTGTCTCCCCCTTCGCCTCTAGATCTGGATGCTCTGGCCCACAAATGGCCCAGGACCAATCTTTAATCTTTTCCCCCAATCCGGTTGCTCCCAGTAGTTCTGTTCAGAATACGATCAGACAGAGTGGCGCACTTGCTGCTGGTGGCCCCGGGGTGGCCCACTCAGTCGTGGTTCTCGGACCTGGTCAGTCTGCTAGCCGGCCCTCCATGGGAGGTTCCCCTCAGACACGATCGGTTGACACAAGCTCGGGGCATGATTTGGCATCCTCGACCGGATTTATGGAGGTTATGGGTGTGGCCCCTGAGCGGAGTACGCTAATGTGTTCCGGTCTCTCGGCTGAGATTACCGACACTATTATAAATTCTAGGGCTCCCTCCACGAGACGCTTATATGCTTTCCAGTGGAGACATTTTGCCTCTTGGTGTAGACAGCGCACTCTAGATCCAGTCTATTGCCCCATTGGTTCAGTACTGGAGTTTCTTCAAAATCGTTTTTCTGAGGGAGTTACCCCCGCCACTCTTAAGGTGTACGTGGCGG